TATGGGCCATGTCCCCAGGATTGGGCCCCAGGATGACATGTGTAAGAAGAGGAATCCGCTTAGTGGATGGGTCACGTGCCAGCGTTAACCAGGCTGTGGCAGCTGTGAGAGATGATGGTGGTGTGAGGATGGAGGAGGCAGGCCTGCCCCACCTGGAACCTCATCACAGCACTGACCACCTCGATGCACAGGGTGGGGCCCTGCCGCTGGAGAAGACCGAGGTGCCTGATAGGACAGGGTGGAGGTGAGGGTGCAGGGACAGCTAGTCAGCAGCTGGGGGCCTCTGAAATTGGTCAAGGGGACAGTGGGGCTTCAGAATTCAGGAATCACGAGGCTGGAGGGAGGGAACCAGCCCTGGGCCAGGCAGAGAGGGAGCTCACTAAGGCTGGTCCCTGAAACATGTTAGGGGAGAGCTGCTGGCCCTCACGCTGCCTGGAAACCCTGCCGTGGGCCTCAGCATCCCCTCTGCTCCTGGTCCACTCTGCTGATGACTGTAGTTTTTGCCCTGTGCACTCTCTGCTTTGGTCTGCCTCCCCAGGGCTGCCTCGTCCCCTTAAAGTGACCCCCTAAAGAGACATGTCCACTTAGAGCCTTGGTCTTAGTCTCTGACTGAGACTTTTGTTTCTGAAATGAGAGTATTTGCAAATGTACCTGGGGTAAGGATCTCAGGCAGGGATTGACCTGGGTTGGGATGGGCCCTAATGATGATGGGTAGCCCTGATTGAGACGGAAATGTGGGGACACATGGAGACATGGAGAAATCCAGGGGACCTGGAGGCAGAGACTGGAGGGATGGGGCCACAGCCCAGGGGTAGCTGGAGCCCTCAGAGGCTGGGGAGGCAGGAAGGACCCTCGCTGAGAGCCTCCCCACATGGCCCCGCTTTGGATATCTGGCTTCCAGAACACGAGTGCTTACGTTTCTGCTTTTTACATTTTTCACTATGGTAAAATACACACAGCTTTGAACTTGCCATTGCTAAGTGTACTGTTTAGTCTCTTAGATGCTTTTACTTTGTTTTGCGTCCCTTACCACCATCCATTTCTAGAACCCTTTGCATCTTGCAAAACTGAAGCTCTGACCCCATTAAACAATAAACTTCCAGTTCCCTCTCCCCAGCTCTAGTACCCACCATCTGCTTTCTGTCTCCATGTATTTGTCTGCTCCAGGTCCCTCATATAAGTGCATTATACAGTACTTGTCCTGTTGTGACTAGCTAATCTCACTGAGCACAATGTCCTTGAGATTCATCCCTGTTGTGAATCAGAACGTCCCTCCTTTTTAAGGCTGAATAATATTCCATTCTTGGCTTCCCCTGTGGCTCAGTGGTAAAGAATCTGCCTGCAATGCAGGAGACACAGGAGACACGAGTTCGGTACCTGGGTTGGGAAGATCCCCTGGAGGAGGCCATGGCAACCCACTCTGGTATTCTTGCCTGGAGAATCCCATGGACAGAGGAGCCTGATGGACTATGGTCCATGGGATCACAAAGAGTCAGACACAACTGAGGTGACTGAGCACGCATGCATGCAATATTCCATTGTATGATGACTTCCCTGGGGGCCCAGAGATTAAGAACCTGCCTGGCAATGCAGGTTGATCCCTGGTCTGGGAACTAAGATCCCACAGGCTGCAGAGCAAGCAAGCCCACATGCCAAACTACCGAGCCTGTGTGCTGCACTACTGAGCCCCTGCGCCACAGTTAGAAAGTCTGCACGCTGCAATGAAGACCCTGCATGATGCAACCAAGACCCAGCTGGCTGGACTGAAGTCATAGGTTGGATGGCTTTGGAGTCATCTAGTGTTTAGTTAGGGTGAAGATGTGCTTAGGTTTATGAGGGTGGGCAGAGGAGGGAATTAGGCACGGGTGGGCCAAGGTAGAGCCCTCTGCCTTGGAGGGCCAACCAGGGTACAAATGAGATGGGCCAGAGCCTTGTGGATTCTGGCTGTCTGTCTGAGCTAGGCTGTCCCTGGTGGGATAATCAGTTACCATAGGAAACTGCTCTCTGCAGGGCTGACATTGGTTTGCAAGTTTCCCTGGACACTAAGCTTGCTTCTGCCCCAGGGCCTTTTCACCTGCTGTTTCCGGCTTGAGCACCCTTCCTCAGGTCCTCCCAGGCTCCCTCCTCCTCTTAGCTATGTCACAGCATCTCTGAGGACCTCTGTGGCCAGATGGCATCTGTCTCCTTGCGACCACGTTAATTCCCATCCCCGACCTCACTAACTCCACCTGAGGTGTCTCTTCTTGTGTGTGTGTGTCTGTCTTTCCTACCTGAACGTGACCTCCTGGGGGGCAAGGGTTCTGCTATGTTTGATGCGCTATCCCCAGGGCTAGTTTAGTGCGGGGCACTCAGTGGGTACTCGATAGTCCTTGTTGAATTAATGAACTAAATCCTGCATCATTCCACAACCATTTATGGAAGTTTTTCTATGCGCCCAGCACAAGTCTGAGCCCTGGGATGAAATGCAAAGATGAACAATAGCTATGTGGTCCCTGCCCTTGTAGAATTACATTCTACTGGGGACAGTTACACAGTTAAGAAGCAGGTGCTCACAGCAAGGTCAGGTGAAGGGCATGGGAATGGTGGAGTAGTTTCCAGGAAGTGGTCAGGAAAGGCCTCCCTGTTATAAGGACCTTGAACCAGTTGGGGATGAGGGTCCCTGATGAGGGGTGACCTGGGGGGAATGGAAAAAGGAGGTGATGAAGGACTGGTCCCAACTGGAGGCTGTGTGTGTTGGGCAGGGCTTTGGGTTCAAATCCTGCTCATCCATGGCTTGTGACATTTCCTGCTTGGTCTTGGAGTTGTCATCTGTGAGATGGGTCCCCAGAGGTGTGGCTTCTCTGGAGCTGATCCAGAAGCAGGGAGCAGAGCAACAGTACCTTGCAAGCTCCGGTGAAGGTTTGCTTCCCTTTGTCCTTTTCTGTGATAATTATAACCCTGGCAGCCTCTTTGGTTGCGGCCTCAAGGCAGACATCTGAGATTTTCGGAAGCTCCAGGCTTCTGTTTCTGCTGCTCACGACCCTCCTCCTGACACCAGCCCCAGGCAGGGAGCGCACGCGGTTCCTGCCTGGCCAAGCGCCAGCTCCTCCACGCCCCCACGCCGGCCACCCCGTGCTTCAGCCTCCTTCCCACCTGCCCTGCAGTGCGATGGAGGTCTGCCAGCAAAGGTGCACATGATGGTTTCAGGATGCTTCTGAATTTCGGCTTTCACTACTTCCTGCCGGCAGACATGGAGTCGGGGTGGGGGCAATATCTTTGGCATCAGGACAAGGATTGGGCAGGTGGTGACCTCAGCTGAGCCTCTGGAGCTCCTGGAGGGGCCCCTGGCTTGTCTCTACAGGGGCAGCAGACCTCACAGGCCCTCACGTTCAGGCCTGGGTGAGTTCCATGTTGAAGAAGCTCTGGGTTTGGGTGATGGACTCCCAGCAGAGGCTGGGGCAGAGAGGCGGGGAGGCCTGCTGAGTTCTGGTCCGGCATCTGCCAGGTCTCCAGCCCCCCTGCCCAGGCCAGCCCACAACGGCATCCCAGAGCATAGGAAGGGCTTGTGTTGGTCTGGCCCAACCTCCATTTCTGCCAAGGAGACTGTGGCTTGGGGTGGGGGAGGCTACTGCCAGCACACCTGCCCGGACTCCCCTGGATCTCAGCCTGCAGGGGCCCTGCTCCCTCCTGGGGCCGCCTGTGGAATCCACCTGGCGGCTGGGTCACTTCCCCCCGTTGGTGGTCCCTTCGCCCAAGATGGTCCAGGTATCCTGTCTGCCCTGCTGTCTCCCTCCCTCTCCTTGGTCCACCTCTCCTCCAACTCAGGATAGGCCCTGAGGGTCAGGGAAACCTTCTGAGGACCCTCGGCCCACGGGGAAGATAAAAGACAAAATTCCAAAGCGGGGCTCGGGGCAGCATCCAGAGGTGGGGTGGGAAGGAGGGCACATATCCTGATGAGTGGGGGGCACCTGGGAGCTGGCAGGGGTCAGGGTGGTCCCCCACTTCCCCCGCCCCGCCGCCTTGCTGTCTGGAGCTCCATGACGTTTCTTCTCCCTGCAGTTTGGGTGTCACCCAGCTGGCGGAACTGGGGGTTTGGTTGCTCATTTCCTCAAGCTATGTGCAGCTTCCTGGTGGACTTTTAAGCCACTGTGTGCCCGGATTGCAGGGCCCGGATCTGTGAGCGGTGACTGGGGAGGATGGAACTCCGGCTATGCAACCCTGAATGTCTGTGGTTTGTCCACTTTGTTGTGGAGGTTGGGATAAGATGGTGGGCACTCTCTGGCTATAAAAATACCTAGGTAGACTGGCTGCAGACCCCAGAATTAAGCTAAAAGCTGCAGCTCTTGATGTGTTAAAAAAAGATAGCACTTAGTAAGAGGCAGGAAGATGTTTTGCTCTGTAGGTTCCTTTTTCTATTTTTTGGGTGCATTTTATTGATTTCTGCCCTGAAATAGTGCTTTCAACATTTTAAAATAGAATCCTTGGCAAAGAGGTCCCAGGCTGGGGATTTAAGTGGAAATTGACATGGCTCTTCATAAAATCACCGTCAAAACAAGACACTCCGAGGCCCAGGCCTCTTTGCACCCTCCACTTCCTCTGTAACCCCCGTCTCCGCTTTCGCTCTAAAAAAGTCACTGGGATAATTGCTCATCCCGGTCTCATCACTGTGCTGCGGATGACTTCCTCTGTTCTCTGTTGCTGGATGCGGTGGGAGAGAGAGCGACACCCTGGGTCAAGCACCTGGAGTTGCCTGTGGAATCACGGTCTCCCGTGATTGCCTCCCTCACCTGGACGCCCCTCTGCTCAGGTGTCCAGGTGCTGGGCAGCCGCTGTGGCCTCCCTCCATCCTCTCTCCATCCTACTTGCCATTGGGCAGCGCCTGCTTCCAGGCAGAGGGAGGCCTGGGGAGGCAGGGCAGCCTTCAGGAAACTCCCCCAGCCTTGGGGAAGACAACCCCGAAAGGGGAGGTTCCAGTGCAGAATTCAGGTCCCCAGGGCAGCTTCCTGCCCCAGGGCCCTTACCTGCTGCTGTTGCTGCTGGAAGGCGTCCTGAGAGGAAGACAGAGGCTGGACAGCATCTCGGTCACACCCCGCATCACCATGGAGGTGGTCGGGGCTTGGGCGGAGGCCGGAGGGCTGGGACGTCTGACGGTGAGCACGACTCCCTCCCGAGACCTGCCTTTTGCAAGGTTCTGTGCAGAGCATCCTCAGGCCTGGGGACCCTCCTCCTTTGTCTAGGGGTTCAGGAAGCACCCCCTTCCTGGTCCCTAGCCTGGGCTGAGCGCCCTCCCAGGCCATACTTCTGCTGCTGGAGGCAGCTTCTGGCCCATCTCTGGGGGTGAGCAGGGCCCGGGTGGAAGCTGAGCCCTCCTTTGGGGCCCCTCTCGGGCTCCTTCAGGGCACATGTGGCCCCCACAGGGGAGCCGGCCCTGGGCCCCTCCTCACTGCCCCCTCATCAGCGGCCTTGTTTCTCCAGCTCTCAGTGCACTGAGCGGGGTAATTAGCCTGTCAGCTGGGACCACAGTTTCTGAGCAGATGCCAGCAAGAAGTTAGTTGTTCCGGAGCTGGAGTTGCAAACATGCAGATTCTTTCTAAAAAATGTACGCTGTCCCAGCTTCCTCCTCTTCCCGGACTCCTTTCTTCCAGCTGTTGGTGAGGCGGCAGCGATGGCGATGGCAAGGCCGACCTAAGGACACTTCCCACCCTGCGGCCGAGGGGCTGGGGTCAAGGTGGGCTCGGCAAAGGGGCCCAGCAGGACCGCGGGGCCCTGTGGGAGGGCAGGGCGGCCCGAATGACCCCCCAGCAGCGTGTGAGGCCTGAAAGGGGGCACGCTGGCCTCCTTGCACATCTCCCCTGGATTGGGAACCGAGTCATGACCACTGATGTTCTGTCCCGGTCACAGCAGGTCCTGACTCCTCACTCCAGCGTCTTCCCAGAGTCCAGTCCTCACCAGAATTTCGATGACTGAGACCCCAGGACAAGTCTGGCTCCTGTCCGAGGCATCTGACCTTCAGAGGGAACCAAGGTCTAATCAGTGGATGACTCGGCGGGCAGCCGCAGAACCAACACATGGCCCACAGGGGTGAAGACAGGGCCGTGGGCCTGGTGGGCCGAGCTGGGGGAGCTTGTTGGCCACCTGGGCAGGGCATCCATGCCTGGGGAATGGCCCCTGGACCCTGACCTCAGAGGCGGCCTAGAGGGACTGAGAGGATGCTGTCGGAAGAACCAGCTCGCCACTAGAACCCTCCACCCGCCTGACGACCCAGAGTCAGAGAATCGGCCACGGTCCCCTCTAGCCCGGAGCCCCGCGGTGAGTGTGAGCCAATGGTGGTCCTGCCCACCCTGCCCTCTGCCAGCCATCAAGCTCTGGGGCGGGGCTCCCACTGCTCCCTTGGGGGGCCATCGGGGGGTCCGGCAACACCTCTCTCTTCCTCTGAGTGGAGGTGCTGGAGGCTCCACTCACAGCGGCTGCTCAGGCCTTTGCCCCGTCCGTCCTCCCCCGACACCCAGGCAGCAGAAAGGGACTGTCTCCCTGGACCCTCATAAGCGGAGTTTCCTGGTCAGTTGCTTTGCGCCTAAAGGTCATTTCTGCTGATGGGAGCCTGCATCTTGCCGGTACCTGATCCCACAGGCTTGCCCTGCCTCTCTTCCCCCATATCTCCTCACCGTCATTTCTACCTCCTTTTCAGAGCTGCGTTCAACTCTGTGGCAAAATAGACCGGAGACCTGCTGCCTGGAACGGGAGACTTTTCTCCCCAGCAGCAGGAGGCCTGGCCTCGTGTTAGAAGCAGAGCAAATGCCACTGCTGGGACGTGGGGTCTGGTGCCAGGAGAGCTGTGTTCTGAGGCCTTTGGCCTCATGGGAAGGGCTGCGGGCTCTGCGGCTACTGGGGGGCAGCCTGTGGGCCTCATGGACAGGAGTGACATGGCAGGAGTGCTTCTGGATGTCCACCTGCCGGAGCGTGGTGAACAGGGAGGCCAGCATCGGCTCCTCGCCGGAGCCGAGGCCCCCCCCCCCCGCCCCCGCCTCAGCTATCAGGGCAGGAGAGGAGCCCGACCACCCTGATGGGAATCTGGGTCCCAGGCAGGCGGGCTGCTGCCCCAGGCTCCTCCCGCTAGGGTCCTCTCCCCTGGCATGAGAGAGGGGGCGGGGTACAGTGCATCTGCGTTTCCAGGCTTTGGAGTCAGAGGATGGAGAGGTGGGGGGAGGGCGGGGTGTCTATTGATCTGGGGGGAGGGTGAGCTTGGGGGAGGGGTCTGGGGGAGGGGAGCTTTGGGGATGGGAGCTGGCCTGGAGACAGAGGTGCCTGAGCCCCATCTTCCCTGCTGGGCTCCTCCTGGCTCGTGTCCACTGGGAACAGGGAGTAAAGAGAGGTCAGGGTCCCCGTGACTGGTGGGGCTGGTGGCCAAACCCGGGCAGTTGGGGAAGCAGGCTAGGGGACGGAGCCCCAGGTCTGACGTCCCCCAGGCCAGGTCTCAGCCCCATGGCCAGCTGGCCTCCGGCATCTGGCTCTCATCCATCCAACCCCACAGATGATAACTGTGCATCTACTATGTGCACCTGGGAGCAACCAGCAGAAGACCGACAGGCTGTGCGGAAAGGAAACGTCTGTGCTGGAGGAGGAGGCGGGGCCTCTGCTGTCGGCGTCAAGGAGAGGGGGCGGGGTGCTGGGGGAGGCGGCCGTCATTCTCCCCAAGGATGGGCCTGGGGGCGCGGCCTGGTGCTCCACCCGGCGTGAGGCGCAGCAGCCTAGGGCTCCCATGAGGGTCACCAGATAACAGGTAGGGTGCTCAGTTAACTTTGAGTTTCAGATAGCCAAGAAATCTTTTTTCAGTATAAGTATAGCCCATATTTTCTTGGGCTCCAAAATCACTGCAGATGGTGACTGCAGCCATGAAACTAAAAGACGCTTGCTCCTTGGAAGAAAAGCTATGACCAACCTAGACAGCATATGAAAAATCAGAGAATTACTTTGCCAACAGATTTGCAAATAGTCAAAGCTGTGGTTTTTCCAGGAGTCATGTATGGATGTGAGAGTTGGACCATAAAGAAGGCTGAGTGCTGAAGAATTGATGCTTTTGAACTGTGGTGTTGGAGAAGACTCTTGAGAGTCCTTTGGACTGCAGGGAGATCAAATCAGTCAACCCTAAAGGAAATCAGTCCTGAATATTCATTGGATGGACTCATGCTGAAGTTGAAGGTTCAGTACTTTGGCCACCTGATGCAAAGAACTGATTTGTTTGAAAAGACCCTGATGCTGGGAAGGATTGAAGGCAGGAGGAGAAGGGGATGACAGAGGATGAGATGGTTGGATGGCATCACTGACTCAATGGACATGAATTTGAGTAAGCTCCAGGAGTTGGTGAAGGACAGGGAAGCCTGGTGGGCTGCAGTCCATGGGGTCGCAAAGAGTCAGACATGACTGAGTGACTGAATTGAACTGAACTGATAACCCATGTAACAATGGGGATATACTAAAAATATTCATTGACTGTCTGAAACTCAAAATTTAAAGCCCTTGTCACTTTATTGGATAAATTTGCCAAGACTGACTCCCTCTTTGGGAAAACCAGGAGGAGACTCTGGAGAGGGGCTCCTTGTCCCCCTTCCCCGGGGGCTGCAGGAAGGAGAGGAGCAGGGCAGGGGGTGTTGAGCCCTGCTCAGCACGCTTGGAGCTTGGTGGGTGGCCCTGCTGAGCCTTGTCTTGAACTAGTGTTCCGGAGGTCTGGCCTGTATGTCACATGTGTCCCCCAATAGGGATGGACCTCAAATCTTGGTGGCCCAAGTGCTTTGGCCAAGCTTCTTCTCACACATTCTTCTGGGAATCAAGTGACTCTGAGTGTGCCTTTTCACTGCTTTGGCTGCTGGCCTAACTGAATGTGGTCTCTCCTTTGTCCACTGCATGGAGCGGATGCGCTGCTTTGGCATCAGGGCTCGGTGACCTTCACTCTCCTGTGTGTCTCTCGGTCACCCCGTCCTGCTCCCTGGGAAGCCGAGGAGGGAGGTGTGTGGTTATTGTGACGGAGTCGTGCCATCTGCTGTGGGATGTGGGTGAGGCTCTGCTCCTCTCCGGGCCTGGTGTCCGGATCTGTGGGCTGGATTGGCAGGTCACAGGGACTTCCCTGCTCAGGGATGCCGCGGTCACATTCTGCATCCGACGGGCTGCCAAGGACGGTTTGCTTTATGGAGCCGGAGGTCTTAGGCCTGCCTCTTGGAGGGGCGGTTATATTTTAATCAGATGGTTAAAGGCCTCCAGTCTTCACTGAGATCTAAAAGCTTCTGCAGAGGCTGAGGGCCAGGGAAGCTGAGATGAAGGAGCGCTCTCCGCCCTTCATCATGCTGTCTCAGGCCCCACACATCCGGCAGGCCAGCCCGGCCCGCAGGTCAGAGACAGGGCTGTGGGCAGCTAGGAGGAGCTTGTGGATTTCAACAATCCATCATGATGAGGGGTAGACTCTCCACCTCTCCTTTTTGGAGCCAATCCTTTGCATGAATGATTAATAACTTTTAAAAACTATGTTGCTTGTTCATCCCTTGATGGACTGAATATTCCTTAATACGTACTCTCTTTGAGTTATGACCAGGCCCTGAGTTACAAGAAAATCTTCAGGTGTTTGGAAATAAACATTGATGGATGATGGGCAAGCCCCCAAAGGTACTCCAGTTATAGCGGAGTCCCGAGCAGATGGGGTGGGCGGCCCCTGCTGAGTCGGGTCTTAGATAACCCGGGAGCGACGGGGGCTTGGGAAGACCCCTTGCCCTCTGAGGCGAGGGCTGCTCTTCTCCCACGAGGTGTCCTCTCTGGGCAGCCCTGGGTCTCCCAAGCACGGCTACACCCACCCCCTGCCCCGTCTTCCTAGCCCCAGAGAAGGGACTCCAGCAGGTGATGCACTGTAAGCCTGAGTCCTGGGTGACCAAGCGAAGAGATGCCCCGTCTACCCCATCAACCGCCGTGGGCACAAAGAGGCAGCAAGGAGCCAACTCCTGAGATCCAGCCATGCCTACATCCCACACTCAGGTTGGTAACCCAGGGGTATTTATTTAACAAAAAAACAGACTTGAGGGCTTCCCTGATGTTCTGCTCTTCTCCAGTAGCACATTGGACACTTTTGGGAAAGACTGAGGAGGAGAAGAGAGCAACAGAGGATGAGATGGTTGGATGGCATCATCAACTCTATGGATGTGAGTCTTCGCACCCTCTGGGAAAGAGTGGAGCACAGGGAAGCCTGGCGTGGTGCAGTCCATGGGGTCACAAAGAGTCGGACACGACTGAGCGACTGAACAGCAACAGCTGGTGCTCCAGTAGTTAAGAATCTGCCTGCCAATGCAGGGGACACGAGTTTGATTCCTGGTCTGGGAAGATCCCACATGCTGCAGGGCAACTAAGTGCACGGGCCACAGTTACTGAAGAAGCCTGCCCACCGGAGCCTGTGCCCTGCAGCCTGAGAAGCCCGAGCTAGAGAGGAGGCCCCGCTCGCTGCCGCTGGAGAAAGCCTTCGCAGTGCAGCGAGGACCCGGAGCAGCAAGACAAAACAAAACAAAGAACAAAACCAGACTTGAACTTTCAGAGCAGTTTCAGGTTCACAGCAAAACTCAGGGGACGGCAGAGCGATGACCCCCACAGCCCCGACTCCCATGACCTCGCCGATGTCAAGACCCCCCTGCTGATGCAGCTGTTCTGACCATGAACCTACACTGACACGCCGTTATCACCCAAGGTCCATTGTTTACTTTGGGGTTCACTCTTGGTGTTGTGCTTTCTAAGGGTTGGACAAATATATAATGACATGTATCTGCCATTATAATATCATCCCGATTATTCCCACTGCCCTAAAATTCTTCTCCGTTCTGCCAATTCATTTCTCTCCTCTAACCCCTGGCAACCACTGATCTTTTTACTGTCTCCATGGTTTTGACTTTTCCAGAATGTCACAGAGTTGGAATCAGATAGTACGTAGCCTTTTCAGATTGGATTCTTTCACTTCATAATATCCATTTAAATGTCCTCTGTGTCTTCATGGCTTGATAGCTCATTTCTTTTTAATGCTGAATAATTTCTATTGTCTGGAAAGATATGCATGGTTTCTTTATGTAGTCACCTATTAGAGAGCATGTTGGTTGCTTCCAATTTTTGGCAATTATGAATAAAGCTGCTACAAACATTCACGTATAGGCTTTTGTGTGGACAGATATTTTCAGCTCCTTTGGGTAAATACCGAGGAACACAATTGTTGGATCCCCTGGCTTCGTGAGAAACCGCTTGGCTTCCAAAGTGGCCGTGCCACTCTGTGTCCCCCGGCGGTCGATGAGGGTTCCTGTTGCTCCGCACTCTTGCCTGCTTTTGGTGTTGGCAGGCTCTGGGCTTGGACCGTGCTAATTGGGGTGTCGTGGTGTCTCACTGCTGCTTGAATTTGAGTTTCCCTGACGACAGGTGATGTGGAGCATCTTTTCATTGTGCTCATCTGCCGTCTCTATGTCTTCTTTGCTGAGGTGTCTGTTCAGGTCTTCAGGCCTATTTTTTTTCTTAAAACCAGATTTTTTGATGGGGCCTTTTGGAGTTCGGCTCTCTTGCAAGCATATTAAGCACCAGGCAGTTGTGGGAGGGGTGGCGAGGCTTCAAGCCTGGCCCTGCCGCGTGGCTGATAACTGTGAGTGAGACGGCTGACTGCTGAGCTGCGCCTCCCGCCCATGCCGGGGCTGGGGTGGAGGATGGAGACGATTTCTGCGAAGACGATTCAATGTGTTCCGAGCTGTTAAAGTTACACATGACCCTGAGTTTGCTTTGTTCATGCCTTCCGACCCACCGTGTGAAGGGCTCACTGCGTGTCCTCTCACGTGACCTGTGCTGGATGCCCGTCACCCACCCCCACCCCCGCCCGCCTTGTTTGCTGGGATCTTATCTCTTTTTCTCTGGCGTCAAAGCCCAGTTCAGGAATCACTGCCTCCAGGGTGTCTGCCAGGGACCCTCATGATTCCTCACACTCACTCCTGTGGGCGTTCCCCGTGTGGTGCTTTCCCCAGTGGGTGCCGGGGCCTTCCATCCCCCACCCACCAGCTCACGGAGGCCAGGGACGGGTCTTGCCATCTCCCTATCCCCAGGGTTAGGCTGGCACGTGGTGGGTAATTAGCAGTGATTTTAAGTGACTGAACACAAAAACAGGGCCCCTGGGAGCTGGGCACTGGAGACAAAGGGACATGCTCTCCTCCTTCCCCAAGGGAAGGGACTTGGCAGTTACTGAGAAACTTCTGGGTTCAAAGTGCTTTATCCATGCTGACGTGGGTCCTTGCAGCCCAGCCCAGAGGCCTGTGTTGGTCCCCACTCGGCGTGTGGGGACCTGAGGTCACCCAGGGGGTGAGGGGCCAGGTGGGGTCCCAGCCCTCCACCTGGTGTCCACAGGCCCTGGGAACACCCCTGCAGGGGGCTCATCCCCCCAAGGGCAGGTTGTTCTGCTTCCTCCTGGCTGAGCCCCTGGGCGGGGCCCCTGCCGGCCACTTATCCCTCGGTGGCCTGGGGATGGCCCTCAGTTTTCTCCAGGTGTGAGATGGGCATGGCCATCTTCGATTAGGGATTGTGGAGGAGACCGAATCAGAGGTGGACGTGAGTATCGGGCTGGGGGCTGCTTGCTGCAGGGAACCCGCCCTCAGGGTTCACGGCAGCCGCTTGCCCAGCCCCATGCCCCACCCCCGGAGGGGATGAGGGCTTGCAGCGGGGCCCCTGTGGCCATCCTGTTTGGTGCCCACATCACTTGGACAACAGGACCAGCTGCTTAGCTGCCTTTCCCAGCCAGGGCTGTGCCGCCCACCGCCTCTGTTTCCCCTCTGTCTTCTGGGATCCTGGAATACTGGGCTCTGAGAGGCTGAGGACAGGGTGGTACTGGAGAGCCATTTTTACAACTAGGTGCATCTCTGCACACAGACCACCCAGTGCCGCCCACGTCCGTTTGAACCCCATTACCCGTCCATCCCCCTGGCACCATCTGGAAATCTGGCTCCGAAGTGAGAAGAGGAAAGATTAGATATTAATTTAATTTACTCCAGGTTCTAATTGTCTGGAGAAACTTCTTATGCACTCACATTAATTTATTTCCACTTTGGGCCTGTTACGCTAATTCAAATCCTCCTTAAGTATTAAAACACTGATATTGCAGATCAGATAATACGACGGGTTGAGGGAGCCAGGGGAGGTGGGGAGAGGAGGCTCTGCCCATAATGCCTCCAGCCAGGCTGGACGAAGGGCCGGGGGAGGGAGAAGGCCCCACCCCTTCCTGCGACTGTGAGCTGGGCTGAGGCGGCCCACACTGGCACCTCTTGCCTCTGGGGGACTGGGCATTGGCCCCATTTCCTCTGTCTGAGCCTAGAGGCTGCCTGTGGGGTGTGTCCGGCCCTGAGCCTTCTGGGGTCACAGTCACCTGTCTCTGGACGAGGTGAATGTCGGGTGGGGTGTCAGGAGGGGGGCATGGTGGGGGATGCTCCCCCATAGCCGGGGGGGCCCGTCTGGAGTCATACCCCAGTGATGGTGAGGACAGCAGAGGAGCCAGTGGACAAGCTCCCCTGGTGGCCCTGGTGGGCTCTGCTCTTCAATGGGCCCCTTGTGAGCTGTGTGGCTTTGGGACAGTCAGTCAACCTCCCTGGGCCTCAGTGGCCTCATTTATCAAGGCGCCCTGGGGGATGAGCTTCTTGTGGGTGGGGCTTGGGCTCCAGAGTGCTTGACATTGAGTCCCACCCACAGGCAGGACGTGTCCTCCTCCGGGCCTCGTTTCCCGGCTGGGAGGTGCTCACTCAGGCTGTGCCCGGGGCGGGCTGAGTCTTCGGTGTGGGGGTGGCTGGAGCGTGCCCCCTACTTGCCAGCGGCCGTGACTCATCAGGCGTTGACAGACTGAGTCATAGGAGAGGCAGGGAGTCGTTTCCAGGCTCTGGGATGTGGGCCTGGAGGAAGGCTGACTGACAGCACAGCCTGACGGCCGGTCCTTGGCTGGACCCAGCACATGTGCTCATTGCCCCTGCCTGCAAGCCCTGCCTCCTGGGCTGCTCTAGGAACCCTGGGCAGGGAGGCCTGCTGGTCTTGGCATCCCATTGCACAGATGGGTGGATTGAGGTCCAGAGAGGGATCACAGGGGAGACAGGATGAGGACCCAGGACACACATGTGGGTTACCGCCTGCACCACACCAGGAAGAGGTGTGCTGGGACAGATCATAGAACCTGGCCTATCTGCTGCTTACAGTTTTGTTAGGTGTGGAGCAGAGTCCAGGGCAGGTAGGGGAGGAAGAAAAAGTCCAGGGCCCCTGCCCCGGTGGGTGAGAGGGTGGTGTGGAATTCAGAAAGTGCTTCTGAGGGCCCTGGGGCAGGGACTTGGTGAGGAGCTCCATGGGGGCAGGGGTGGCTGGTGAGGGCTTCATCTCTTAAGAGTGATTCTGTTCCCTCTTGTCTCCATCTGCCCAACCTTGCTTCTCCCTGGGCATAATGGGTGAAATCGAACATGCTGTGTTTTGAGGTCTTTTCCCGTTCCAGTTGCGTGTGACTCTAGTTGAGTCAGCAGCAGACTGTAAGCAGCAGACAGGCCAGGTTCTGATCTTTCCCAGCACAGCAGGAACAAGCAGGTTTGTGCTCGCAAATGACCTTGGATGGGTGGATCTGGGAGAGGACGGGTGGGTGGGTGGATGGATGGAGATGCACAGATGGACATGTGGCTGAATATGTGGACGTGGATGGGAGGAGATGTATGGGTGGATAGATGGGTAGATGGTTGAGAGGATGGATGGATGGATGGATAGTGGATGAATGGACGTAGGTAGGTAGGATATGAATGAATGAGTGGGAAGTTAAGTGGATGGATGGATGGGTGGATGAGCAGGCAGGTGGAAGCACACATGGTAGGTGGATAGATGGATGGATGAGCTGGTTGGAGGAGGGAGGGATGGATATATCTGTGGGATGATGGATGGATGGGTGGGTGGTTGAGCTAGTGGGCAAGTGGTAGATGGATGGATACACGGGTTTTGAATGAGGAATGGATGACTCGGTGGGAAGATGTATGGGTGGATGATGTGGATGATGTGTGGATGGATGGGAGTGGATGAATGCAGGGAAGGGTATGTGGAGGGATGGATAGATGGGTGGGTGGGTGGATGAACTCTGTGACCTTTCTAGTGCTCAAACTTTATGTTCCCTCTGCTATTAGCAATTGGGTATTTGGTAGGTTAAGTGCACAGCAGAAAACCCTGGACTGGCAAGTAGAAGCCTGGGCTAAATTTTCATCCTATCACTCTGTGACCTTGGGCAAATTGCTTGCCCTCTCTGATCAAAATGAAGGGGCTGGAGTCATTGGCTCATAAGTCTCCTTGCTCTGGTAAGTTCTGGGAGTGTTCTGCTCGTTCTGTCCTCTGCCCGTCCTCTCGCCCTCCCTTCTGGGGCGAGGCCTGCTGCCTTCTCCTTTCTTCAAGGCTCAGGCTCAGAGCCCTCCCAGGGTGGCGGCTCAGCTGGCTGGTGGTGCAGGCCCGGCAGGGGTTCTGCTGTGACGCCTTCTGGAGCGGGGTCCACCAATGCCAGCTCCCCAGCCGGATTTGGACTGGTGCCCAGCCCGGTTTTGAGCTTGTCATTTAAGTGATACGGGAGGCCGTCTGTCTGCATAACCTCCCCGGCTGAGGACACTGCCCCCTCCAGGGCCCCAGACAGCCACCATCTGGCAGGGGTGGTCAGTGGTGGCTCACATAATATTGCGATTTTTCTTATTTTTGGAGAACTGAAGTGTCAACCCTCACCTGGGGGCACTGTGGAACGCATTGCCCCCTCTGGACCTTTGCCTGTCCTTCCACCGCCCTGCAGTCATCTCGTCAACCACAGGAGGCTATCCGAATTGGGGAGTGTCAACAGGACAAGTTAGGAAAAGGAAGAAAGCTGACATTTCCTGCCTGATGATCACAGCATTAACGCTCTGACTGAGAGCCGGCTGCGGGGCTCTGCACGTGTACTCGGGTGTCCTGGTGACCCTGAGCCTCAGTCTCCTCCTGTGTTCTTCAGGGAGAATGTGACCCCTCCCAAGGTGGGGATAGAAGGCTGGAGTGTCCACTGAGGGTCAGTGCAGCGCCAGCCACGGTCTTGAACAGGATGAGACTGTTGCCTGTCCCTTCCCGTCTGCGGATGCTGCATCCTATGGCCCTGGTTCTCTCTCTGGGCCTTGAACCCAATTCCTAGGCCTCCCTGGGGCCCAGAGCACAGAGCGGACCGTCACAGGCCGGGGACCAATGTGTTTGATGGGAAGGGTTGGGGACCAGGTGAAGGGCTACCACGTCCAGCTGTGGTTGTAACTTCCCATCTGACAAACGTGTGTGGGAGGGTTTGCTTTAATGATGTTTCTTGTGTTCCTCTCGGCCCCTGTGTCTGTGAGTCTAAGGAGGGAAGGAGCAAGGATCACGTCGCATGTCACGTTGTACGCATCCTTGGTGCTCAGACATGCAATGTGGGTGCCGCGGCAACCTGGAGCAGCCCCCGAGGCGTGCGAGGTGGCGGCTCCAGCGACTCCCGGGAGGGGACAGCTTTTGTCGTTACGCAGTCAGGGCCGGGCTCCGAGGGGCAGGGGCACAGCTGAGGCCGCTGGTGGGACGTGAGGATTCCTGGGGGCCGGTCCTTACTGGCGAGCTGGGAAGCCAGGGTCAGTGCTGCCCGAGGGGAGGGTGCCTCTGAAGCCCTGAGGCTGGCCTGGAGAGGGCAGAGACTGGTGACTCCCCTGCTGGGCAGGAGTTTCCTCTGACGGGCAGTGGCTGGTGCTGCCAAGCCTCATGGCCCGTGGCTGAGCCTGCAGTGGGGTCCCAGGGATCTCTTCCCTGCCCGCTCCCATGCTGGCTGCTGCTCTTGGTGACTCTGACTTGGCCACAGCAAAGTCACTTTCCTCCGTGGGCCTCCATGTCCTCATCTGTAAACTGGTGCTGGCCGGGGCAGGGAGGCCCACCACCCCGGCACTGGGGGCTTGCCCCCCAGCTGGTGTGTGGTGAGTTGAGGTCCTGAGTGGCAGGCAGAGCTGGGATGTGCAAGTTTAGAGGTCTGTGGGCGTGGAGGCCTGGAGAGGCCACAGTGGGGCATTCTCAGGGGCCAAGCATCGCAGAGGGGCTGCGCCCTCTCCTTCCCACCCACCTGTCCTCGGAAGACCAGCCCCACCAGCCCTTGCCTGGAGGACAGGCTTATGCCTTTGCTTTTATGACTTTTTAAAAAAAAACTGGGAACTGGGACAAACAGGCAGGGGCTGGCCCCAGGGCAGGTTGGAGTTGGGATGGGAGCCACCATGGCCGGAGTGCGGGGTCTGCGCTGAGCCCAGGTCCTGGCAGGAGGAGTGAGTGACAGACTGGAGGCAGATGGAGCGAGCGCGGGGCTTTGGCAGCATAGGGAGGGTCTTGGGCTCAGGGCCCTGCCCAAGCGAGTCTTCTGGGGCCCCGGGGAGGATGACTCGCCCGGGGGGGACCCCCTCG